CCGCCCCACGCTCCCTCGCTGCCGCCACCTCTTCCTCCTCCCTCATGTCCTTGGTCCACTCCTCCATCAGCAGGCTCTTGGTGACCCTGCTCAGGGCCTGCCCGCGTTCTGGGCGCTGCAGACGCTGGGGTGAGCCGGGCAAAGCCCTTTCCCCCAGAGGGAGCAGATGAACCAGGGGAAGCCGCACAGGCTGCCTGGAGGAGGTGACAGGCTGATAGCAGGCTGAGGGATGCCTAGGAATGAACCGGGGCGGCAAGGAAGATGATATCCCTGTGTGCACAGGCTTACGCAGTGTGCACATGCAGCTAAGGTGGTGGGGAATAAGAGTTGGGTACCAGGATGTGTGTGATCTGGGAGAAGGTGGGGGAGCAAACTGGATCTTTTCACCCTTCGTTGGCTGTAACCCGGACAGTATATGTCAGTGTAGGTGGTTAATGCGCTGACGTACATCTGGGCATGTTACATGCTCATGTGACCATTGTCGAGGATGTGAAGCAGGTAGCTAAGGCCTGGTGCACAGACTTTATTCATTCATCTTCACTGGACACTCTCCAGGGAGTGGGGCAGAGGGCAATCAGAAGGACCCATAGGAACAATATGGTAGTCTACGCTGTGGTGAAGGGCAGGGGCTGTGGGGCCCCATAGAAGAGATGTGTCATTCCTGCCCATAGGAAATGCACAGCCAGGGCCTCTTTTGCTGCTGCCACTGGCCTCTGCATGAATGAGAAGGCCACTCCTCTGGAAGGTTGCAGCCCCATCTCACCCATGCCAGTGTGCAGGGTGCAGACAGCAGAGCCAGGATTAGATTTTAGCGGACTGCTGGTAAGCGAGGCCCAACCCCAACAACTTTCTTTGGACAATGAGGTTTGAGGGCATTGGCCACTAAGAGACAGGCTCGCAGGTGCCTAAGCCCAGTGTAGGGCAACCATCTCTTCCCCTCTTGCCTCTTACTTTCATGGCAGAAGAGCAGAAGGGCCTTCAGGAGCTGTTGGTCCCAGACCTGGAAGCCACTCTGTTTCATCAGCAGCCTCTTAGGCCCTGTTACTTCCCACAAAGGGCAGCCCCTTGGCAATGGCCGTGGCCACCTTATGGAGAGCACAGCGGGTGCTCCTGCCATTACCCCTTCTATCCTTGTTCATTCGGTCATGAAACATGCATATTCCAGCCCTGCTCTATGCCTACCTGGTCCTAGGCCTAGAGGTGCCAAGGTGAATCAGACATAGTACCAGCCCAGATGAAGTCCCTGACTGGTGGGGAGATACACCATCAACAGACAGATCATGAAATGCAGGCATGCTTTCAACAAAATCTTATGGAACACCTAGTATGTGCCAGGCATTGTCCAAGGCCTGGGGATACAGCGTAGAAATAGATGAGGTCCCTCTTTCCTCTCTTGTAGCTGACATTTTAGTTGAGAGAGACAGACAGAAAAGCAAGAAAACAAAAAAAGATAATTTCAAATTACTATAACTGCTGTGGAAAAAATAAAACAGAATAATGTGAGAGTGATGGAAGGTAACTTTAGAGAGGTGATAAGGGGAGGCCGCTCTGAGGAGGTGACATTTCATTGAATGGCAAGAAGGAGGCTGTTATAGATTGAATGTTTTTGTCCTCCCAAAATTCATATGTTGAAACCTAATTCTCAGTGTGAGGGTATTAGGAGGTGAAGCCTTTGGGAGGCAATTAGAATATGAATTATAAGAGACCCCAAAGAGATCTCTGGCCCCTTCTACAATATAAGAACGCAGTGAAAAGAGGGCTGTTAATGAATCAGGAAGTGGGCTCTTGCCAGACGCCAAATCTGCAGGTGCCTTGATCTTGGACTTCCCAGCCTCCAAAACAGAGAATTAAATTTCTGTTGTTTATAAACCACCCAGCCTATGGTATTTTCTTATGGTAGCCCAAACAGACTAAGACAGAGCCCAACCGTAGGAAGATCCAGTGGCAGGGCATTCTTGTTAGAGGGAACAGTAGTGCAGAGGCCTTGAGGTGGGCTGGAGCATGGTGAAGAGGAGAGGGTAGTGACCAGGTAAGGTCAGAAGGAGTCAGCAAGGCCCTGATCACATGAGGGCTTTATAGGCCACAGTAAGGAGTTTGGATTTTGTTCCAAGCTTAACTATGCCTGCTGTGACAGCAATATGGCCACTCTAACAGCAGGATATCTGGGAAAATAGAGTCTAGGATGGAGCCCTTTTTGCAGACCAGATTGACTTCCTCTGCTTAGCCCCTCCTCTTTCACTCTGTGGTCTTAGGAAATCAGTCCCCATTGAGCCTCGGTTTCTCATCTGCAAAATGGGGGAGATAGGGGAATTTCCAAGGTTCATTCTAGTTTTAAGATAATCATGTGGATTGAAGTTCAGAGGCAGTAAGGTAGATTAAGAACTTTGGGCTAGACTGCCTGGATTTAAAGTCTATTCCTTCCCTTCCTAGCTCTGCGACCTTAGGCAACTCACTTAACCTCTGTGGCTCAGTTTTTTCACCTGTAAAGTGGAAATAATGACAGTACTCACCTCACAGTGTTATTGTGAGGATTATATTAGATGAGATTATGTGTTCACAGCATATAGTAGTATATGGTAGGTGCATAATGACTGTTAGTTACATTACTATTATTCAAACATAATTCCCTGTTCACAAACCCCTGATGACTTCCCAGCACTCAAAGAATACAGATTGAGCCCAGGCATTCCTTGACCTCCCCTCCAAAAGGAGTCTTTGCTCATTCTGTCCCACATATGTCCAGTTGCCAAAATGGGCAACTCCTTGTCTCTTGACAGCTCCCTCAGCAGAGGTTCTCTGGGCTTCTCTCAGTCCCCACCCAATTTGGGACACTTCCATCTTCCCCTAGTCAGCTTGTCATCTCCCAGAGGACAGAAACCAGTTCACCTGCATTTCTGGGTCCCTGACCCTTGCCACATTTTACCAATGTTTACTCCTGCCTTCACTGAAGGTTTCTGTAGCCCCAGGACTATGTTTTATCATCCTTGTATTCAGAGGGTAAATACAAGGCTTGACATATAACATGCATTAGATAAATGATGTTTAAATGCTTAAAAAAGTTCAAAGGAAAACCCTATCTAGTCATAATAGTAGCTAATACTTATTGTACACTTGCTGGTGATCAGGTACCATGTAAGTGCTTTAAAGGCTTTAATTCCTTTTAAGTCCTTACAACAGCCCCCTGAGACAAGTTTTATGTTTATCCCATTTTACAAATAACCAAACTGAGGAATGGGAGGTCACACTGCTAGTAAATAGCACACCCAGCATTTGAACCCAGATGGCAGAACTGGGAATTTTTCAGAGTACATAAATTGCTTAATTCCAGTGAGGGGCAAATGGAGAAAGCCTAGCACTTGGCACACACCAGACATCAAATGGACACTGAGGTCCTAGTACAGCTTCTGTTACCCAGGGGACTTCTTGTCCTCACTTTTCCTCTCTCCATCCTGGGCTGACTCTGAGATACGGGCCTTGCCCACTCTTTAAAAAAAAAAAAAAACAACCCTCAAATCCAACCCCAAGTGCAATAAATTCCCCATGAGACAGAAAAAGGTGACATTCTTCCTGCTGTTAGCATGACATCCTTTACCTTCCAAGCCTCCGTGTCCCACCTCCAGACCTACGAGAGGCCCAGCAGCCCACCCCATGCACACTCCACTCCTCTTTACCCTGCCCCCAGGAGGAAGCTTCAGGCCTCTTCCAGGCTAAGCCCTCTGCCTAGAATACTTGCACTGGCTGACTTCTAGTCACCCTTTGTGCCTCAGCTCAAATGCCTCCTCTTTTGGGAAGCCTTCCAGCCTCCTCCAAAGAGATCCTACCCACTCCTCTGGGCTCCCATAAAACTGAGCATCCTAATCTCTCTGATCACACTGGGCTGTCGTTATTGTATCCTCCTTCCGATGCAATCTCCTCAAGCCAGAAACTAGGTCATTCTAGTCCTTGCTGTGTCCCTAGTGATGACTCTTTAAAGGGAAGTGTGACCATATAAATTCTCACCAGGGCCAGGCTAAGGCCAGAGGGCCTTCTGCATATACCTCCTCCAGCCTGCTCTGGCTGGTCTCATGCTAAGTGAGGGGTACAAA